CTGGTTACGTGGTCCGAGTGCTTTCCAGTATCCTACAGAAAACATGGAAAGCTGCACTTTTCCTGGTGTTCCCAGCAAAAAGTAGGTTGAAGGCAGCTCCTTGGCCGAGGGTCCTGTTCTCTGCCGCTCTGAAAAGTGGGGGGTGACACAGGTTTCCACACCCCAGGGTGGTGTGGGGTGCTGGTTCAGGGCATGGGGTGCGATGGAGCCCCATGTCACCCTGGTGCAGTGGTTGATGGGTTCCCATGGGTGGCACAGGGACCTAGGGGACATCCCAGGGGCTGCATCGAGCAGCTGTTAGCACCCACTGACCTGGCCCCCATCCTTGATACCTACTGGTTGATGCTGGGCAGGATAGAGGCTGCAGAAATAGCCTTTCTGAGGGTTTCTTTCAAGGTCTCCCTGTACCCAGCAGCTGACATCAGTTTTGGGAGATGTGAGAGCACCTTGAGGCACCCTGAGACCCCAGCACTGGCTGCTGATGGGGAAGGTGACCCCCAGTTAGGGGGCTGTGGCACTGCTTGTGGGAGGCTCTTACTGGCAAATAACACGGTAATTGTTACTGGTGCTGGTGCAGGGATGTGTCATGAGAGGGTCACCCTCTCCAAAAGCTTCCATGTGGGGCTGGGGCTTTTGAGCTGTCCCCAGGGATGAGTGGGGTGGCTGGGGAAGGGCTGAGAGGGGCTCCCTGCTCTGGTGCACGGGCACTGCATCCCACTCCATCTGTCCTCCTGGGCGGAAATGCGCCTTTGTTCCTATTTAATGCTGACAACAGTCACATCTGCAAAACATCTGCAGCCAGATGAGTCACTATGAAGCTTCTTTTTACTGGGGATAACGGGATAACAGTCCCTATGAAAATCACAGCTCTGCACTCACTGCTGGGCTGGAGTGAGCCCCACCTGCACAGGGGGGTTTGGAGGCACCAGCTCCCCCGGGGCTGCTGGTGCTGCTGGGCTGGAGGCCAGCGTGGGGCTGCCATCGCTCCCGTCACATGGGTGAAGCAGCACGAGGGTTTTCTCCCCTGAACGTGAGTGAATTTTAGCCCCAGGGCTGGCTGGTGCAGCAGAACTGCTTCTCCAGACCAGGAGCTGTCTGCACAGCGCAGACATGATCCAGGTGTAGCTCAGTGTTTCAGTCCACCCTGGAATGTGTTCTTCTGCACAACTGATGGACTCAAGGTCCAGTCCTTGCTAGTTGTTTTGGGGCTAAGTCAGACAGTTTTCATTTTTGCTTCCTTTGGTACTCGGAGATTGTATCTGATGTTGGCAGCTCTGGAAAGCTTCACATCCTCCTCATTAAACGCGAGTGCTGTGTTTACAGATGGTGTTATTTAGTTTAAAGGTGGTTTTTTCAATCTTTTAGCAGTAGTGCAAAGTGCTGCTGTGGTACCCAGGGGGTAAACAATGCTCGGTGGAGGTTTGGGCCCATGACACTGGTCCAGGTCCTGGTCCAGCCCGATGGCTCCACCTGGATGCCCAGGAGCCAATGCCATTTGCCTTTAAGGTTTCTCACCCATTACAGCAGCATGTAATTTAAACAGAAGCACTTGAGAAGTCAACTAATTAGCACCAGGGAGGCATCCCCCCGGAGTTCGGCGCGGAGCTGTGCCCTCCTTTCTGTTACGAGATCGTTCCAGCTGGAAATTACAGCAGCTGCAGTTTTTAGGGAAAGCGAGAAGCTTGGTGGCTGTGAGCTGGGGCAGAGCTGGAGCAGGGAGGGCAGAGCAGGCGCTACAGCCCAAACCGTAGAGAAGGGAGCCGCTGGGTAGATGGTAAATGTCCTCCTGGGACTGAGAGCGCGGCGGGAAGGCGAGGGCGAAGGGAGGCAGGGGCTGAGCCCAGGTAGAGGGCCCATCTGGCCGCCGTCCCCCCGCACGGCGGGGGTGCCAAGTGGCAGGAGGGCACCGGCTGGCGCGCGGTGTGGTTGTTGGATCCGGCCGCGTCGTGGGCGTGAGCCGAGGCTGGGAAGCTGCTGCATGAGGAGCTGAAGCGTCTCCCTTTTGTTCCCACCGCACCCCGACAAATGGGAAAGGACCGGAGCTTCTCTCGGCATTTTCGGTAGGTCTCTCTGCGCCGTCCTCTGCGTCTCCTGCGTGGCCTTGGTTGTGCTGGGAATGCCTGGTGCTCCGGCAGATATCCCACCACATCCCTCCTGGCTCTTGGAGCCGTGGGGACCCTGCCTGCAGCACTGGGGTGGCCCTGCCACCAACCCGCGCCCACCGCAGCAATGGCGCGTGGGCTGGGGGAGCCAAGTGAACCTTGGATGTAAAACTGAGGGTGGGAGCGGCAGGAAGGGGCATCTGGGTCTGCTTTGTCTCCGTGACTATAGTCCAGCAACACAACGGGTGGTGAGGGTGCAGGTTCAGGGGTGCTGCATGGTCCAGGGGCTGCGATGGAGTGAGGACTGGGGATGCCTGACTCCTGGCCCCAGCTGAACACAAGCTCTGAGCAAACTTGGGGCTGGTGGGCAGGCAGCTCCCAGTGAGTGCAGGCTGCAGGAATGGGACTGTCTTCTCTGAGGTGAGCTGCAAGTGACCCACCCCCTTGGGAGTTTTTAAAACAGGGAGTGTGACAAAGACCAAGATGAGCTAAATATCCTCTGCCAAAGCCAGCCCCAGGGAGGGGCAGCTAGGGACAGGGGTGCTGGCAGACAGGCTCCTGCTGGGTGGTTTCCTCGTGGGTGCTGAGTTGCAGTGCCCAGGGCTGGTGCATGTTGAGCCGGTGGGATTGTGCTGGAGCAGGGGACAGGCTGAGGCAACGACACTGGGCAGTGCCACCCCATGTGCTGCTTTTAGTGCGTCCTTGGGTAAAGCCCAGACCTGAGCACACACAGTTCAGAGGCCAGAACCCACTGAGCCACAGCGTGTCAGGGTGCTCAGGGGCTCCAGCCCACAGCAGCCCTGCAGCACAGGGACATCCTGGGCTCCCTGAGGCCACACTGCAAATCCTCATAAAAGTTTCTTTGCAGAAGGAAAGTATTTTGCATGCTTTAATAGGATTATTTTTACCAGTCACTCAGCTCCTCTCCTTGCTAAGACTCCGTTTTACTTCTAGCCCTGAGTCAGTCATGCTGAAACCCTTGAAGTGTGCCCTTGTGCCTGGTTATTGAGCTTGCCCTGCTTTGCTCCTCACCCCCGATGTTTCTCAGCCTGCAGGTGAAGCAGCAGCCCGTGTGAAGTGGGACAGCCCTGCTGCAGCCAGTGGGGCCAGTTTAATTTGACCAGATGAAATGGGAACGTGTTGGTTCTGCCTGCGAGGAACCTGGGCTTGTCCCAGGGCAGAGGCGTGAGGTCACTGCCGTTGTGTCGTGTCCTTCCCTGCATTCCCACAGGAGCCTCCTTACAGCTGGGTCAACTATTTATTAGCATGATTTCACTCTTTTTCTAGGTGCTGCTTAATCACAAGTTGACTGTGAATTGTAACATGTGTAACTTATTTTAAATTATCACCAAATGCTTCGCTTGAGCATATGTCAGCTGTGGGATCTGCCTGCTCCTCTTCAGTGGGAGCATCAGCCCTTATGTTGAGTTCTGCCTTTGGTTGGGGGAAATAAAGATGTCCTGATCCTGGTAGATTGGGATTTGAAGCCTCCTCCTCCACATCTGGCTTGACTCAGGCTTCCAGGTTCCTTTGGTGAAGGATGGGGAGCCCCAGGGGAGCCAGCCCCAGCCAGGCTCCGTTAGCAGCCACCCATGGTCGCAGCCCGGGGTGCTGCAGCAGGGGGTGCAGCCCCTCGCAGCGAGTTGCTCTGGGCCCTCTGGCACCGGCTGCCTGCTTGTCCCTGCTGGTATTCCCGTGGGAGATGTGCTCCCCGGGCAGGGGCTCACAAGTGTCAGAGTTTGTGTTAATGCAGGGAGTGCGTTCTCACGCGCCGCGAGGTGAGGAGCACTAACAACCCGCAAGACAGTCTTGTCTAACGAGCAAAGGCAGCTGCCAGGCGGCCTGAACGGGTGCAGGGAGGAGTTGCTATAGAAACACAGGGAGACAACGGCTCCTCCAGAAGCCCCTAGGTCTGCAAAGGGGAGGGCGGGAGCAGGGGAGGGGGTGTCAGAGTCTCACTGCTGTGGTGGCAGAAGGAAAAAGAAAAGCATCTCCTGGTGTCAGAGGCAAGAGCAAAGCAGATGCATCCTTCTTGCTGCCTCCTGGGATCTTGCTGTGTATCCTTCAAGGGTCTTGGGGGCACAAAGACCCCTTGGCTGCTGACAGAGAAGCTCCTCCTGGGCACAGGGGAGGTGACCTGAAATGGAGCAAGTTCCCATTGGTGTCCCTTTGCCTGCAGCATCACTATGCCTATCCTTATCCATGCATCACCAGAATCTCCCAGGGGGTGTGAGGCTCCTGCCTGGTTGTGGCAGGAGCTGGGGGGGGGCAGAAGCCAAGACTGGAGCCCAGGAGAGCAGAGTCCAGGGTTCCCAGCTGAGGGGCTGGGGCAGAAGATGGGGAGAAAAGTTTTGGGGGTTCCAGAATGTGCTGGGGAAGAAGGAGTCTGGAGGAGGTGGTTTGGCACCAGCAGTCCTGAGGGGCACTTACACACTGGGACCCTGGCCATGGGTACCACACAGCAATGAGCAGGACCACAGCAAGATGGGCCCTGTGGAAACAAGGGTCCTCCTGGTTCCACCATCTTCCTGGCTGTCAGCATGGGGGGAGACAATTAATCTGCTACTTGAGCTGAACCTCATTGTTGGTGCCCAGAGACAGGCAGCTGAAGGGACAGGGAAGAAACAAGCTGTTTGACTCAGCCTCTGCAAGCACTGCACTGTGGAGAGGTCTGACCTCCTCCCCCTGATGGCACCATGCATGGGATGGGGCAGGAGATGCAGCCAGTGTTCCCAGCATCCCTAGTCCTGGCATTCACAGCTCTGGGCAGGCCAAGAGCACACAAGGGGCTGGAGCTGCTCTGACCTTTCCTTTCCCACGTATGCCTGGATCTGGAGCTCTGGGCCACGGCCGCCCCAGTCCTGCTCCTCAGCCCCCTCCCTTGTCTCGTTTCCCCAGGATTTTCATCCCCAAGAAGCACCGGCAGCGGTTTGACGAGGTGGTGTCACAGAGCCTGATCAGCAAGCTCTGCCGCTCCAAGAGCGAGCAGCACAGCAACCGCCTGCGCCGCAGCCGGAGCGAGGACCACCAGGAGCGGCTCCTGGTCTCCACCCGCGCCAGCTCCGTGCCCCGCAGCCACGAGGAGCTCAGCAAGAGCCTGCGGAAAACCACTTCGCTCCTCACCAGCAATGTGGCCTCGGGGGCTGCCCGCAGGTGATTTGGCCTGGAGGGCACCATGGAGAGGGATGCCGGGGGAGGGAGAGGCACTGGGAAAGGGAATGTCTTCGGTGTGCAGGGTGAAATCCTCCTGGGATGAGGGTGGACTCAATGATGTTAAAGGTCTTTTCCAACCTAAATGATTCTGTGAGCAAAGACCTTCTTGAAGGCTGGGCCTGTTTGCACCCGGTGTCCCAGCTTTTCTGCCCTTGCTGTTGGAGGGCTGGTGGGATGCAGGGTGCCCAGCTGTGCCATTGGGATGCAGGGTGCCCAGCTGTGCCATTGGGATGCAGAGTGCCCAGCTGTGCCATTGGGATGCAGGATGCCCAGCTGTGCCATTGGGATGCAGGGTGCTTGGACACAGAGCAGGCTGCATGGCCCTGGGTGTCTGGGTGGGAGGCAGTGGAAGGAAGGACACACAACCCCTGGTGCCCAGGGGATTAACCCATTTCCCGCAGCACATCTGGCCAGTCCCCAGCAGCCCCAAGGAGCTGTGCTGTGCCGTGCTGGAGGCTCCTGCTCTGTTCCCAGCCCAGCTTAGGAACAAGAGCAGCATTTGATCTTCCAGTACAGCTGGGGAATCCTCCCAGGAGGGACTGTGCTGCCACAGGCTTGTCCTGAGCTATTCCCCTGCCTCCAGCCAGTATCTCCAGGGGGTTCAGCTGCAGCACACCTTCCTGCTAAGATAATTTTTGGTGTGACTTACCCAAAATCCAGTTCTTGCACAGTCTCCTTCTCTGCCAGCGCAGGATCGGTGCCTGCAATAGCCTTTCATTTTGTAAATGCTCTTGGTGATGCTGCCTTTCCCCAGATCCCTGCAGGGAACAACTCCCAGCTCCAATCAGCCTTCCAGCAGGGAGATTTCATAATGCTCCTTCCAAAATTTCCTTGCTGATTTTTTCTTTCTTAGCAGCCTGTGAGATCTTTGCCTTCTAAAACAAATTGTCACTCTCACTCTGTGTAACAGATAAACTATGTTCCATGTTCCACTTTAAAAACACGTTGGATTTGAAGGACTGGGCAGTGGATTTATGGATTCCGTGCTGCAGAGGCTGTGCTGGGGGGCTCTGCCCCTGGAGCACCATCTCCTCCTCCCTTCAGGGGGCACGATCCAGGGTCTCCCGTTTGAAAGACACTTTGGTATCAACAGTGACCTTGAGGGGAAGGAATTAGGGAGCATCGAAGGCTTGGCCACTTGGGGGACACCTAAGCTAACGGGGCTCTGGAGGGGCTGGGAAAGGAAACAAGAGCTGAATATTTGTTGGGCTCTGATTTGACATGTGCTTTTTCCTCTGCAGAACTGTGCGAGTTTATAAAGGCAACAGAAGCTTTGGCTTCACCCTGCGTGGCCACGCCCCGGTGTGGATCGAGTCTGTCCTGCCAGGTAAGAGCAGCCCCAGCCACAGGCTTCACAGACACTTATTTCTGTTCTGAGCTCAAAATCTTAAGTGCCTGCTGTTTGCTAGAAAATGGCAAAAGGGACTTTTACAAGGCTCCGTGGTGGAGTTTCCTGAGTTGAGTACCTAGTGTCTTTGGTGTGATTTAGCCTGGGAGCCTGCTCCTGTGAGCAGGGCTCCTCCAGCTGCAGCTCCTCTTCCTCCCCGTGTGTCTAGGGAGCCCGGCTGAGAAGGCTGCTCTGAAACCTGGAGACAGGATCCTGTTCCTTAACGGTCTGGACATGAGGTAAGAGGCTCTTTAAAAGGGGTCCCAGGGGGTGGTGGGTGGCCAAGCACGTGTGTGCTCAGTTGTTCACCCTTGTGCAACAGGAATGAGAGCTGGTCGCCCTGGAGGGTGCACTGAGGTGCACGAGGGGTTTTGCCCCATCTCCTTTACTATTCTTTTACAGAAATTGGCTCTAAGAGTAGCATTGTCAGCTCCATCCCTGCTCCTCTGACTTCTCAGGGCAGAGAACCATGTATAATGCACGACCCACCCACACACCCTGGTTCAAGCTACTCTGAGTTGTCTGTATTAAATACCCAGGGCTCTGCTTTGGAACAGTGCAGAGCATCATCCGGATGACGAACCACTCCCAGAATGGGATCATAAGCTTAAAAGCACATGGGCAATCCCATCTCCACCCAGAAGTTCATTCTTCTCTCTATTATTTGTGCATGATAACAGCAATCAGGCCAGAGCTGAGTGTGCCCCTCACGGGGCAGTGCCCGGGCTTCCTCGGGTTGGTTTTCCTCACAAAAAGAGAAAGCAAAGGATTAGAAGAGGCTACACGATAAGAGGGACTGATGAATATTTAAAGATTAAACATGTGATGCTGCTTCTGTCAGTGCTCAGGTTCTCACCTTTCAGCTGATCCAGCAAACTGTTGGCTGATGCAGCATTGCCAGAAAATAGAAGAGACTGAGTTGGAGATTGTCCTCTGAGCCCACATTTTGGCAGGCACTGTGCCAGGCTGGCCTGGACCTCTCTTCAAGGACACTCTGAGATTTTTTTGCCTATGAAAATGCATTTTCCATCCACCTTGCATTTTCTTTTCATGCAGAATTAGGACAGGCAAGGAGAGATCTGCAGCACTGTAACATTTAAATGGAAAGTTCATCTTTTGGGTCTGAGCTTAAAGTCACTCTGGCTTCACTTGCCATCACAGCTCCACAGGGTGCCTGCAGGGGTGCCCTGAAGTCATTCTTTGCTTCCAGTGCCACCCAGAGCTCAGTCACAGGGGGTGATTCATGGTGTCCCTTGGGGAGGCCCTTTTCTGAGCTAGAAGCAAGTGAAGATTGAGAGTCCTGGGCAATCACAGCAGGGCCCAGCTGCTCTGAGCAGCAAGATGGGGCTTTTTACAAGATAAGCGAAGGCAGCTGCAAGGTCCATTTCATTGCTGCTCTTGTGGAGCTACTGCCCACAGTGCAGCCCAGTGCTGTGTGTGCCTGCAGTGCTGCCTGCAGTGCTGTGTGTGCCTGCAGTGCTGCCTGCAGTGCTGCCTGCTCTGACCTGGGCTCTCCTCTGCCCCGCAGGAACTGCTCCCATGACAAGGTGGTGTCAATGCTGCAGGGCAGTGGGGCAATGCCCACCTTGGTGGTAGAAGAGGGGATCGTCAACTTCTCCAATGGTAAGAGCACAGGGGGAGAGGGCCTGGAGCAGCAGCCCAGTGCTGTGTGTGCCTGCAGTGCTGCCTGCAGTGCTGTGTGTGCCTGCAGTGCTGCCTGCAGTGCTGCCTGCTCTGACCTGGGCTCTCCTCTGCCCCGCAGGAACTGCTCCCATGACAAGGTGGTGTCAATGCTGCAGGGCAGTGGGGCAATGCCCACCTTGGTGGTAGAAGAGGGGATCGTCAACTTCTCCAATGGTAAGAGCACAGGGGGAGAGGGCCTGGAGCAGCACCAACCCTGCACCAGGTCCCAAATTCCCTGCACAGGAGGGAATTGCCCAACACCTCCCTGAGGCTCAGCTGGCTTGACATGCTGCCTGGAGGGCTGCACTCCTGCTGGGGCACGTGGCTGCCCACTTTCTGGGATCAGGCTTAATCCCAGGCTTGGCTGCTCTCCAGAAGGTTCATCCTACTGTATGATCATCCTTGGCAGCCCTTGCCAATGTCCTCTACATGCAGTCTGTGCCGTGTACTTGACCGAAGTAATCCAACCCTGAGCATCCGTGCTGGCTGCGCAAATCCCACCGCTGTGTATGGTCTGTGCTGCTCAGAGGAGCTGCTGCTGTTATGAATAATTTAGCTTGCTGCTGGTGAGCGAGCCCACGGGAGCTGAGGGTGTTGGGGCAGTGCAGGTGGTTCCAGCAGGATTTTGGCAGAGGGGCAGGACCCCAGCCCAGGGCAGAGTGCGGTGGCTGCTGCGCCTCCCGGGCTGTGCAAAGGCAGGAGGGTCAGAGCACTACTAGGGTGCTGCTCCATGGTGCACAGGCCCAGGGATTAGGGACTGGCTCTTCCCTCCAGAGCAGCAATGCATTCCTGAGCGTCACCTTAGGAGCCTTGTGATGCCAACTCACTTGTGTGGGTCCTAGAAACAAACCCGAGCACCTTGGTGCTTCACAGTGGGGAGCCAGTGATGCTCAAACTGCTTCACTGCCCCCAAAAGAAACCAAGAAAAGGTCGATTTTTTTGCTTCCATGACCTTGGCCATATTCCTAGGTGGATAAGTGCATCCTGCAGTCTCGGGTTGGTCCCTTCTCCCAGCTGTATATATTGCCCTGTGCTCGATGCAGAGGTGGCACAGGGACCAGTGCAGGTGGGTGTGGCAAAGCAAATGACCTTCCGTGCTGCAGTTCCCTCCCAGGTAACCTTTGACTGATGCTGGTTTTGAAGTTGGTGATTATCAAAAAGTGCTTTGGAACCTGACCAGAGGCTTTGGGGAGCCAGAGGAGGAATGCCATCTGCATGTGGCCAGTGAAAGTGCAGTAGCAGTACAGTTGAAGGGAGAGATCCCAGAGAGCATCCCAGTCAAAATACCCCTGCATGTGTTCAGCGGGTCCATGGACCTACTGGAACAGCTACAGTTCCAGAGCAGGGACAGTCACAGCTCCAGATGAGCCATTTCACCCTTCTGCCTTCCAGTGAGGGACACCTGGTTTTGCTGGGTAACAGTGCCTGTACCAGCACACCAGGATTTGTATTTCTCTGGAGCACCCGTGTGTGTGGGTGCAGCTGCTCCCAGAACTGACCCTTGGTTTCAGGACAAGCCTTTTAACGCTCAGACCCTTTGTCTGTTGAATTTTCTATTTTCTCTCTACCTGCACCTTGCAGACTCTGACTCTGTCGACTCCCCGAGCACCTCCTCAGCCCTCACCTCCCTGCAGTGGGTGGCAGAGATCCTCCCCTCTAGCATCAAGATTCAAGGAAGGACCTTCACGCAGCAGCTGGAGCACCTGCTGACCCCTGCCGAGCGCTACAGCATCTGCAGAGCGCTGGAAGGCTTCTTCCAACATCGGTAACTCCTCAGCAGCTAATGCTGTGCCCGACCCAGTGGCCGTGCCCATGTCAGTGGGTCTCTGAGCAGGAGGCAGACCTGGGCAGAGAGGCTGCTGGCACTGAGCTCTGCTGGGATCACGTTCTTCACTTTCCCCAGCTGAGAATTTCCCTGTGCACATCCACAGGACATAATCCTGTCTCTCACCAGGTGTCCAACCAGATGGATGACAGGACAGACCCTTGAGCTCTTGAGGTTAATTCAGTCACCCTTTAATCCCTCTTAAAGTGACCTTGGTTCCCTGCAGCATGGACTGTCTTCCTGGCTGGCTGTCCCTGACAACCACGGATCCTGTTGCACCTCTTTCAAGAAGTTTCCCCACGTTCCATCCTCATCTTCTCACTCCTCTCAGCCCCGTGGCTGCAGCGCTGCCGGGGTGGGAGCACGGGGGGGCTGTGGCTGGCAGAGCCCTTGTCCTCCCACCCTGCTGCAAGGGTCAGAACCAATGCCCTGGCAGACTGGAGGCTTGTTTTCTGCCTTTGATCTTTAACCTTTCCACACCACGGTGGATGAGCCATCCCTCCTGGTGCTGGGCCTTGTTTGCTGCCTCTTCCCACAGCTGCTGAGCCAACCGAGCTGGGCTGCCCGGCTGCTCCTGGGGACCCTGGGTCCCACAGGGGCTGTGGGTGCAGGGGCCAGGGCCAGGCAGGCTCCTGCTGCCCTGGTGCCCAGCACACACCTCACTTGCTCTTCCAGCCATGTTTGATGGGGCTGTCCCTCTGGCCAGCTGCGGGCAGCAAGGCTATGGGGGCACCCCCAGCCCCCTGCTCCTCCAGCCAGCTCGCTTTGCCTGTCTCTGCCCCGGGGGGCTCAGTGCAGAGGCCACAGCTCCATCCAACAGTCATTCATCCCAGGTGAGCTGCAGTGGCCTCTAACTGCTCTGACATGGAGAGAAGCCCCCAGACATTGAGTTCACATTTCTTGCCACTGCAGCATGTGGATACTGGCACTTCCCAGCAGCAAACACAGGAGCCTGAGTCAGGACAGCCCTGTTCTGGGCTTTGGCCTTCCTGGGCAGCTTCTGAGCCTCTTCTCCCTTCGGCTCTGCCCGGTGTGCCTGGTCCCTGCCCTGTGGTTGGCAGTGATGGTCCCTTTGATTGACATCAAGACCACAGATTTGGTGCTACATATGCAATCTCCTTTCAGATCTTTATAAGAACTTCTTACTGCTACTTCCACATGAAGGATGCAATAGTTGCTGTAAGCTTAAACCCACCATCTCTGCTCAGTTTCTCAGTAGAAAAGCAGCCTGGCTCCAGCTCTTGCACCCAGGACTGTCCTCCTCAGGCTGCTTTATCCTCCTCACTGGATCGGGTGCTCAGCCCTGCTGTTCTCAGGGACCCTTTCACCACTTCTCCACACTGCAGGGCCAGCCCAAGACCCTGAGCCTGCTGAGGCTGCCAGCCCAGCCACCCTCTCCAGTGCATTTCTCCCTAAGTCTGCTCACCTGCTGATGGCTAAAATTCTGGTCTTCCCACGGTTTCTCTCTGCTTCCTAGTGCTCCTCCACCCCTCTTACTCCCCACACACCATGGCTGACTCATGAACCAGGTTTTATACTGGTGCTGCTGGTCCCTGGGGGTTTGCTCACCCTGTTGGCACCAGCTGCCCACACTGCACTTCCCAAAGAGCTTCCCCTCTTGCTCACTGCTGGGAAATGGTCTGTTGGTGCCAGGGACTCAGGGACAAGCCCAGCAGCAGTGGGGGAGGCCGAGTGGGAAGCGCTGAAGCCCAGGGAAGCGGCGAGGGGGCTGTGCCAGAGGGATGTGCTCACTGCCCAGCCCTCTCTTTCCCCTTTTGCAGGAACATTGACACTCTCATTGTGGATGTGTACCCAGTGCTGGACACACCAGCCAAGCAAGTCATTTGGCAGTTTATCTACCAGCTGCTGACATACGAAGAGCAGGAGCACTGCCAGCAAAAGATTGCCAGGTTTCTTGGTTACAAGTCCTTGGCAGGTGAGAGGAAAGCCCCTGCATTCCAGCATGGACACATCATGTCCCACCAGGTCCCAGGGACCTCGGTCCATGGCTCTGGGAGCAGATTTTGGTAGCGAGGGAGCAGAGAGAGTGTGACTGCCCTGCCTGGCTCCATGTAGAGAATTATAGAGGAGTGTCCAGCCCCTGTTCCCCATGAGGTTGGTCTGTAGATGTCAGGCAGGAGGTTACCTTTTCTGTATCATGGAGCTGTGTGGCTTCGGCAGGAAACTCTGCATTGAGAGGAGAGATGGCACCTGAGAGGTTGTCTCTGGAAGCAAAGGTTTTTAGAAACTGCTTGGGTTGTTAGAGGTTAGGAAGTCCCAAAAGGAAAGAGGCGGTTCAGGGGCAGCGTTCAGACCAGAGACGCAAAACAACCCCTGATGGTGATTCCCTTGGGATGTCTCCAGCACTCAGGTGTGTGCAGGTATCCGTGGCTGGAGGAGGTGGGGAGCACAGCTTCCCTGGCAGTGCCTGTCCTCCCCAAAACACCTGGAAGGCAGCCAGTTATGCTCTGCCTGCTGGTCCCCCTCTCCCCTCACCATTAACCGGGGCTGAGGCAGCACAAAACTGGTTTCCTGAGGATTATGGACTTTTCAGTCAGACAGCAGAAAAGTGAGGGTAAAGTTGGAATGAAATGTCTTAATCTTTGGATTTGGGCTTCTTAATTACTTTCATATTCTCCTGTTCTAAGGTATTTCCATTGTGCTGATGTGTTTATTTTAGACTCAGTGTAGGTAAGAAGAGGTGCTGGTTGAAGAGAGACTTCTGGAGGAGCACAGTTGTCTTAGCACAGCCTTTCCCCTCGCAGGGAGAAACAGCTCCAAGTCCTAGTGCAAACAGTCCCTGCTGTGCATGGAACCCTGCTGGGTACTTGCTCACCTCATCACTACTGCTTTTGTGTGTGCAGAACTGTGGCCTAATGTGTTGTATATTCCCAAGAGCTTAGACCCTAAGAATAGTTTATGAACTCTAGAAGATCTCAGAGAGAAGCCAATAGATTTGCAGTCTGCAGCTTCATTTCAGCAGTACCAGGCAGGTAACCGCAGCTGCTGACAGAGGAGGAAAGAATGGGAGTAAGTCCCCCAGGACCAGGCTGTTTTGGACTCTTGTCCCTGGTTTGCAGGCTGGTCCCTGGCTGCTTTCAGCTTCTCAGGTGAAAGGGCAACCTCTGACCATGTGAAGTTCTGGTTGCTCTGGTGCATGGCTTGTATGTCCATGTGTGAAAGCACAATGGCCAGAGATCTGTTGGGTTAGTCCTTCCTCTGGGCTCGTGCTGAACTTGGTGGTGATCTCTGCTGTCTGTGTGCGTTGGGCTGTCTGATCACTGGGCTGTTGGGTACCAGGGAGACTTCAGTATCTTCATCCTTCTGGAAGTCTGTGCCTCCCTGGGCTGTGGCACTGGACTGCACACAGACCAACCCACCAGACAACGTGGCTCCTCCAGGCAGCGTTTCAGGGCTGGTCCCTGCTCCTGTCTTGTCCCTTGAGGGCAGGAAGGGGTTACCCAGCTCCCACCGGACCAGCCCAGCTCAGGGCTGGGGTTTCACACGCACCAAGAGCTGGTGGATTCCAACCAATCTTGCTGGCAAGAGCAATGGCATGTCCTGCCTTTGGGCATCCATCCCCTCGCCCCGGGGCTGGTGGGAGCGTTTGGAACCTGCTCCGCTCCCTGGAGCAGCACGAGTGGGGGGGTTGAGTGGCTGCCTGGGGGGGCCCGGAGGGGCTGCGCTGGGGGCACGGCCAAGTGAAGGGTCTGGGGGTGTCACGGCGAGGGGAGCTGCGGGGCTGTGCCTCACGCGGGGTGTTTTCTGCCGCAGCCGAGCCAG